GTTGTTCTTGTGTGTGGGGAGCGGTAGTGTAGCGGTTAGCACGCTGCGCTACGAAAGCGGCGTTCCGAGTTCGAACCTTGTTTACCCCCTCGTGTGCCGTACCGGCCTTGATAAGTGCTAACTCGCTTACAATACTTGCCCCTATAGTCCGTGAAGGCTATACGGGGGTCTTTGTGTGTGGGGGTGGGGGTGGGGGGGTGCAACGATTACCCCGCCGTGTTACCAACCTGGCCACCAAAGTTAAATGCCCACTCACGATCAACACCGGTGACGATTATCTTAATGGGACCTGGGCCTCCCCTAGGTGGACTCAGCCTCAAATGAGTACTTGGTGCTGTGTGTAAAAATCGCCACTGAGAAGACAAAGGCAGCCGGGCGTGGGCGCTGGCCACCCACCCCCACGTGTGCAGTGCCGCCTTTCATAGGCGCTGCTCGCTAAGAGCACTTGCCCCAACATCCTTTTAAGGCTATACAGGGGATCGTTGGGGTGCGTGCCTCGTGCGTCTTTGTGTGTGTGTGTCTTTGTGCCCCGTGTGTGTCTTTGTGCCCCGTGTGTGTGTGTCTTTGTGCCCCGTGTGTGTGTGTCTCTGTGTGTCGTTGTGCCCCGTGTGTGTGTGTCTCTGTGTGTCTTTGTGGAGCTGATCTGCCCTCTGACCATCGACTAGTCATCTGTAAGATGCGCCTGCCATTCTTCCACTCCGGTGGTGGGTGTACACCCAGGACCCCATTCCAACCTAAAGTGGCCTGGTTTCAGTTATCTGATGAAAGTTGCAAGCGAGAATTTCATCATCGCTTGCGGCTGGGATTGGCATCGTCCCCGACTCCTCCTGATGTCGAGGGTAAATGGGTGAGGTTTAGGACTGTGACTGCAATGGCTGCTTTGGGTACGCGGTCCAGACCTCCCCAGAGACCCTGGCTGACAGAGGAGGTGTTCAGGATGGTTGAGAAAAAGCGACAGGCCCACTGTCATCGGCTACAGAATCCCACGTCAGAGAATGAGGAGGCTTACCGCAGCCTTCGCTCGGAGGTTCGGAGAGCCGTGAGGTGCTGCAAGGATGGGTGGTGGTCGCGGGTTGCTGAGGAGATGGAGTCTGCCTCAGTGGCCCGTGATCACAAATCTCTATTTAACCCCATCAAAAAAGTAATCTGCAGCACCACACTTATTACCATCATTAGGGGAAAAAACGGTGACGCAATCTCCGACCCCCAGGAACAGGTTTGCAGATTTGCTGAGCATTTCTGTGAGGTCCTGGGGGAGGGAAAATCGCTCAGCCTGGAAAACATCGTGGCACAAAGTGAGGATGACCCTGCTGAGGCTGCGGTGCCTCAAATATTGGAAGAAGTCACCCCCTGTGAGTGGCTGGTTGAGGTGCCATATGTTGAAGAAGTACTGAAGGCAATCCGGAGTCTGAGACCAGGAAAGGCAGCGGGCAGAGATGATCTCCCAAGCGAAATGCTGAGGGAGGGCGGCGTTTGTGCACAGACTGCCCTATATGACATCATAACAACAGTCTGGACCACTGGACGGGTTCCGCAGGATTGGAAGGATGCCCTGGTGGTCCCCCTTTTTAAGAAGGGGGACCGCACAGACTGTAACAACTACAGGGGCATCTCACTCCTCAGTGTGCCGGGAAAGGTCCTGGCAAGGATTATTCAGCATCGCCTTGCCAGGCACGCTGAGGAGAGGCTTGCGGAGCCCCAATGCGGTTTCAGGAAAGGGCGGTCCTGCACAGATGCCATATTTTCTGTCCGTCTGCTACAGCAGAGGTGTAGGGAATTCCAACAAGACCTACATCTCTACTTTATTGACCTGGTTAAGGCCTATGATACCATCATTAGGCCTGGGCTCTGGGTTGTTCTTCGTGCTTTTGGAGTACCTGACCCTCTGCTCACGATCATTAAGGACCTTCATGATGGTGAGCGGGCCCGGGTAAAACTACTTGGCCGGGAGTCAGAGCCATTCCCTGTACACCTTGGGGTGCGACAGGGATGTCCTCTGGCTCCCACATTATTTAACATCTATTTTGACCACGTAGTTCGTGAAGCCTTCAATAGCTGTACCGGGGGAATCTCCATATGGTACAGATATAATGGGAGGCTGATCGATGCCCGGGTGCAGTCAAGGGATGGCTGCCTATTGCTCAACCACGTTATGTATGCTGATGATTTGGTAATAGCTGCTCATTCAGAGGAGGAGTTGGAGACGCTGCTGCTGAGACTGGAGCGTGCCACTAAGAGGTGGAGCCTTACCATCAGCCCCACCAAAACTAAGCACCTGCCTGGGTATTTTGTACCATCGGACACTCCACCCCCACAACTCCCAATCGGTGATGGGGCAGTTGTGGAGAGAGTGGAGAGTTTCCCATACCTGGGCAGTGTGCTTATGACTGGCTCCAGTTTAACAGCAGAGGTCTCACTCCGAATCAGTCAAGCGGCAATATCTTTTCATCGGTTGCGTAACGCTGTGTGGAAGCTACCTGGTCTGTCGCTCCGCACTAAGCTTCAGGTCTTCTCGGCCACGGTCATTCCCTCCCTTCTCTACGCTTGCGAAACGTGGACCCCCCTAATGGAACATCTTCGCCGGTTAGAAACATTTAGGCTGGCCTGCCTACGATCCATCCTGGGTTTAACCAGACTGGATTGTGTGAGGAGCTCACAAATCCTTGAAAGATCTGGGCAAGGTCCCATCGGTGAGCTCCTCCTGCGGGGAAGGCTGCGATGGCTGGGTCATGTAGCCCGCATGCCCAGCCACCGCATGCCGAAACAGCTTTTGTTAGGCCGGATAGAAGGGGCTAAGCGGGCGCGGCACGGGCTAGAGAAGAGATGGAGTGATGTGGTACAGGAGGACGTGGAGCTGAGTGGACTTGCCGATGACTGGTACCAGCGGTGTCAAGATCGGCCTCTGTGAAGGAAGTTCGTGAAAGACGCTACTGGGCAGTTGGAGGCAGTCGCCCTCCAACAACAACGGAGGGTGGAGGAGCGACGCTCAGAACAACGAGCGGAGCGCCGGGTGGCTAAAGCACAGCAGGTTGGCACAGTAGGGGGCACAGGTGGTTCATCGTCCAGTCATCTCAGTCAGTCGACCCGTGGCACATGGGTCTGCCCCGTGACCCCCTGCCAGCGGGCGTTCGACACTTCACGTGGCCTCAGGGTGCACATGTCCTGGCACAAGCGTCGTGGTGACGTCACCGCCACTTAGTGGCGAATGGCGGTTGTTGTTGTTGTCTTTGTGCCCCGTGTGTGTCTCTGTGTGTCTTTGTGCCCCGTGTGTGTGTGTGTCTCTGTGTGTCTTTGTGCCCCGTGTGTGTGTGTCTTTGTGCCCCGTGTGTGTGTGTCTCTGTGTCTTTGTGCCCCGTGTGTGTGTCTCTGTGCCCCGTGTGTGTGTCTGTGTGTCTTTGTGCCCCGTGTGTGTGTCTGTGTGTCTTTGTGCCCCGTGTGTGTGTCTCTGTGCCCCGTGTGTGTGTCTGTGTGTCTTTGTGCCCCGTGTGTGTGTCTCTGTGCCCCGTGTGTGTGTCTGTGTGTCTTTGTGCCCCGTGTGTGTGTGTCTTTGTGCCCCGTGTGTGTGCGTCTCTGTGTCTTTGTGCCCCGTGTGTGTGTCTGTGTGTCTTTGTGCCCCGTGTGTGTGTCTGTGTGTCTTTGTGCCCCGTGTGTGTGTCTCTGTGCCCCGTGTGTGTGTCTGTGTGTCTTTGTGGTCCGTGATGCAATTGTGTTGACTCATTGCCCCTCTTCCGACTACAAGCTCGCACCGTGACTCAAGGAAAGTGAAAATAAAAGTTTTGTTTTCCATTAGTTTATTTTATGTTTTATTTACAATGCAGTATTTTTTACAGTGTTACATGGAAATGTACAATATTTCTTTTTGATTATGAGTTTAACAATACTTTCCTTTTCGTTGAACCGTAACACATTTCATAACACTGACCTATGGGCATTTAAATAGGTGCATTACTGTGTTCGACTTACGAACGTGTTTAAAAACATTAGATTTGTAATCCGAGGACTAGGTGCACACACACAATTCCCGAGAGCAATCGATTAGTGAATCGCTGGTCGTGTTCAATAATCGATAGTAATCGGTTTCGCGACGTTTCAGGCAATAGCCCTATTTTACTGCACACGTGTGGGCCTCTACGTGGGCCTGTCATCGCATTCGTCAATAACAACACCTTGTGTGGCCTTAAAACAAATATAACAGACGACGTTTCGGCCAATGGCCTTTCCTCATTGAAATCGATTAGGCGATTCTTAGCTCCACCTCCGTTCGCCCCTCCCTTTAGCCCCTTCCCCTCCTCCCCCTCCTCTTCGCCCCTCCCCTCAACCCCCCTCCCCACAACTCCCTCCCCTCAACCCCCCTCCCCTCAACCCCCTCCCCTCAACCCCCCTCCCCTTAACCCCACCCCCTCCCCTCAACCCCCTCCCCTCAACCCCCCTCCCCTTAACCCCACCCCTCCCCTCAACACCCCTCCCCTCAACCCCCTCCCCTTAACCCCACCCCTCCCCTCAACTCCCTCCCCTCAACCCCCTGCCCACAACTCCCTCCCCTCAACACCCCTCCCCTCAACCCCCCTCCCCTTAACCCCACCCCCTCCCCTCAACCCCCTCCCCTCAACTCCCTCCCCTTAACCCCACCCCCTCAACCCCCCTCCCCTTAACCCCACCCCCTCCCCTCAACCCCCTCCCCTCAACCCCCCTCCCCTTAACCCCACCCCCCTCCCCTCAACACCCATCCCCTCAACCCCCCTCCCCTTAACCCCACCCCCTCCCCTCAACCCCCCTCCCCTTAACCCCACCCCCTCCCCTCAACCCCCTCCCCTCAACCCCCCCTCCCCTTAACCCCACCCCCTCCCCTCAACACCCCTCCCCTCAACCCTCTCCCCTTAACCCCCCTCCCCTTAACCCCACCCCCTCCCCCTCAACCCCCTCCCCTCAACTCCCTCCCCTCAACCCCCTCCCCACAACTCCCTCCCCTCAACCCCCTCCCCTCAATCCCCTCCCCTCAACCCCCCTCCCCTTAACCCCACCCCCTCCCCTTAACCCCCCGCCCCTCCCGCGAGGGTGGGGCTGCTCACGTGACCGGCGCGAGTCATTCGGCGCGAGGCACAGCGGCTGGACTTGCAGCAAAGACGACGAGGTATTAAACTCTTACGACTTACACCTTCTAAAGCACCCACCGGCCACTCTACACACACACACCACTTACTGCTTCTGCCTCGCAGAGACTTTAGTTCGAGCTTCTAACTCGAACTAAAAGTATTTACCTCACGCGCGCGCGAACTTAACAACGGCGCGCTCCGTGTAGTGCGCGCACCGCTATCTTATAAACTAATAACTTAGCCGTTCACACACAAATTAGCTTATAAACTAATAACTTAGCCGTTCACACACAAATTAGCTTATAAACTAATAACTTAGCCCGTTCATCTACCTCAGAAACTAACTGCGCGCGAGACGCCGCCGCTGCTGCTGCGTTCCCGACACCGCAGCGGGGAACGCGCTCGGCACGACGCTGATGGCGATGGTTGTGGTGTGGTGGTTGTGTGGTGTGGTGGTGGTTGGTGGTGGTGGTTGCGATGGTGGTGGTGATTTAGATGGTTGTGGTGGTGGTGTTTGCGGTGGTGGTGATCGCGATGGTGGTGTAGTGGTGGTTGTGATGGTGTGGTGGTGATTGTGATGGTGTGGTGGTGATTGCGATGATGGTGGTGGTGATTTAGATGGTTGTGGTGGTGGTGTTTGCGGTGGTGGTGATCGCGATGGTGGTGTGGTGGTGATTGTGATGGTGTGGTGGTGATTGCGATGGTGGTGGTGATTTAGATGGTTGTGGTGGTGGTGTTTGCGATGGTGGTGGTGATTTAGATGGTTGTGGTGGTGGTGTTTGCGGTGGTGGTGATCGCGATGGTGGTGTGGTGGTGATTGTGATGGTGTGGTGGTGATTGCGATGATGGTGGTGGTGATTTAGATGGTTGTGGTGGTGGTGTTTGCGGTGGTGGTGATCGCGATGGTGGTGTGGTGGTGATTGTGATGGTGTGGTGGTGATTGCGATGATGGTGGTGGTGATTTAGATGGTTGTGGTGGTGGTGTTTGCGATGGTGGTGGTGATTTAGATGGTTGTGGTGGTGGTGTTTGCGGTGGTGGTGATCGCGATGGTGGTGTGGTGGTGATTGTGATGGTGTGGTGGTGATTGCGATGATGGTGGTGGTGATTTCGATGGTGGTGGTGTGGTGGTGGTTGCGATGGTGGTGGTGATTGCGAATGTGGTGGTGATTGCGAATGTGGTGGTGGTTGCGATGGTGATGGTGTGGTGGTGATTGCGATGGTTGTGGTGGTGGTAATTGCGATGGTGGTGGTGATTGCGATGGTGGTAGTGTGGTGGTGATTACGATGGTGGTGTGGTGGTGATTTAGATGCTTGTGGTGGTGTTTGCGATGGTGGTGATTGCGATGGTGGTGTGGTGGTGATTGCGATGGTGGTGGTGGTGTTTGCGATGGTGGTGGTGATTTAGTTGGTTGTGGTGGTGGTGTTTGCGATGGTGGTGATTGCGATGGTGGTGTGGTGGTGATTGCGATGGTGGTGCTGTGGTGGTGATTGCGATGGTGGTGATTACGATAGTATTGACGGTTATGATGATGGTGGTGGTGGTGATAACAATAGTAGTGGTGATGATTATGATGGTGGTGATTGCGAAAGTAGTGGTGATTGTGGTGGTGACCACGATTGTAGTGGTGATGATGATTATTACGGTGGTGGTGATTGTAGGGTGAGCGGTAGTGCAGCGGTTAGCAGCAGTTTGCTACGAAATCCGGCGAGTTCGATTCCCTCTTAACGGACCAACTAACGTCAGTGACGAATATCTGAACTGTACTGGTCCTGGGCCTCCCGTAGGTCGACTCAGCCTCAATAGAGTGCCTGGTGCAGTGTGTTAATAATGCCAATAGGGAGACAAAGGCGGCCGGGGATGGTGCTGGCCACCCACCCCCCCTCGTGTACCGCCCCGGCATCCGTAGGTGCTCGCTACTTGTTGATTACCGAGAGAGATTCTCTATTGAGTCTGTAATTGACGATGAGAGTGCAGCTGAGTGGTAGTTGAGATGCTGAGTGGGGAGAAGGGGAAGGGGGTGCGGGACACGGGCAGGGAGAAGGAGAGAGACACGGCGGGCCATGGACAGGGGACACACGGAAACAGAAGGGGTTATATTATTTGGGGTCTTTCGGTAAAGTCACGTAGTTAGGTTCAAAAAACAATTACCAAACAACTACGACGTTTCGATTGCAACACAAGCGGTCGTCACCTGATGACCACCTGATGACGATCGCCTGTGTTGCCATCGAAACGTCGTGGTTTTTTTGCAAAACAAATTAACCTTTCAACGTGACTTTACCGAAAGACCCAAAGAATATGAATTCCTGCAGTCACGAAAGCTTGAAGTCAACAGAAGGGTTCTAGATAACCAAAGTGACAGACACGGGGACTGAGCAACATAGGAAGGGAGGGGGGGACACGGAGAGAGACAGATGCAATGAGAGACAGGCAGATAGGGATACGGAGAAAGACACACACGGAGTGGTACACAGTGCGAGACACGAGGGGCACACAGACGCGGAGCGAGACGGAGACGGCGAGACAGAGACGGACAAGAGAGTGAGACAGGGAAACAGACTGAAACAGAGAGCCACGTGGCGTTAGATATAAACGGACACGGAGAGAAATATACAATAATGGGGGACAGACAAGACGGGGATAAACAGACACACGGAAAGAGGGGGAGAGACAAGAGAGAGAGACAGCCAAACCGATATGAGGAGAGGGACAGAGAGAGACACACGGGACACAGGCCAGAGAGACACAAAGAAAAGGAAAGCATGATATATGTAAGAGAACTACAGGGACGGACACCGAGAGACACAGGGACGGACACAGAGATAGACACAGGACACAGAGATAGACACAGGACACACAGACACAGGGACGGACACAGAGATAGACACAGGACACACAGATAGGCACAGGACACACAGACACAGGGACGGACACACAGAGATAGACACAGGACACAGAGATAGACACAGGACACACAGATAGACACAGGACACACAGACACAGGGACGGACACACAGAGATAGACACAGGACACAGAGATAGACACAGGGACGGACACACAGAGATAGACACAGGACACAGAGATAGACACAGGGACGGACACACAGAGATAGACACAGGACACAGAGATAGACACAGGACACAGAGATAGACACAGGGACGGACACACAGAGATAGACACAGGACACAGAGATAGACACAGGACACAGAGATAGACACAGGACACAGAGATAGACACAGGACACAGAGATAGACACAGGACACACAGAGACACAGGACACACAGATAGACACAGGCACGGACACAGAGAGAGACACAGGCACGGACACACAGATAGACACAGGCACAGACACAGGCACGGACACACAGATAGACACAGGCACGGACACAGAGAGAGACACGGGCACGGACACAGAGAGAGACACAGGCACGGACACAGAGAGAGACACAGGCACGGACACAGAGAGAGACACAGGCACGGACACACAGATAGACACAGGCACGGACACTGAGAGACACAGGACGCACAGACACGAGGACGGACACAGAGAGACGCGGCTAAAGTTTGGAGGAAAGTGGGGGGGGGGGGGTCCGTGTGTGTGCGTGAGGTGGGGTTCACAACAGAAGTCCCACCACCCCCTGCCAACTGTTATGGTCGCACCCCCCTTAATACTGTTATGGCCGCTGAGCACAAATGCACGGTTCTCATCCACACCCCGAACTTCACACACTCACTTATCGCCACTGCCTCATTTGTTATTACTGGAGCAGTCAGCGCAGAGGGTAGTGTGGTGGTGGGCAGGGAGCGCAGTGGTAGCGCACAGCTCTACGAACACGGCGACCCGATTTAAATTCCCGGCCACGGCTAACGTCAGGTGAAGTCTCAAGATAAGGACGCGTGGGGAGGCCTTTACCCAGTAGTGGATTGAGAAGGGACTGTGAATTTCGTTGTAGTCACTAGAATTGTATTGTAGCATTCGTTAACAGTAAATATTCTACACGGTAATGTAGTGGTTAGCACTGCGCTAGGAATCCGGCGACCCAAGTTTGAGTCCCGCTCATGCCCAATAACATTGGCAAATATTTTAATCGGTCCAGGGACTCCCCTGGGTCGACTCGGCCTTTAATGAACACCTTGTGCGGTGTGTAAAACATCAGCACTTGGGAGACAAAGGCAGGTAGTGCTGGCCACGTGCTCGCTAACGGCAGTTGCCGAACAGGATTTTATTGGTTGCACGTGGGAGCTTTGTCTCGTTTGGTCCGGTATACTGCAGTGATGTGTTCCTTTCCATTCTTTGCCAGGGGTTGTCACGTTAAATTATTTATAACTTTTAAGACAACCGATTAAAAGTCTTAATCTTTGCAAAACATTGATATTTGCCCGGTCTAGCAGTCCTCATTAGAGCCGTCTTGCTGTTTTAACGTGTAAACCGCAGCCCCGCCACTCCGGCTCTGCGGAATTCAATGAATCAGTGAAGTCTGTTTCTCCTCCGTTGACAGTGGTAGTGCACGAACACAGTCAACCACACCAACAGCTCAACACACTCCTTGTCCATAACTCCTCTGCCCTCAGAGGCAACCAAAATGTGTAATAGGCGATGTTTTGGGCCGTGGCCTTTCTTCATGCTCTCACAGTCCGTGTGGGGTCTACCCCGTTGTGACCCCCTGACCAGCTGAACCCGCTTTGACCTCTGACCGAGCCACCACCACAGACGTCAAGATGGCCGTGGAAGGAGCCAGCAAATGCGTGAAATATCTCCTGTTCGTGTTCAACCTTCTCTTCTTCGTGAGTCCTCACCGGTGCTCACCCTCACCTCACCACGATGGCGCTCATCACTCCGCATTGTACAACACTAACACCACTCCTCATCACTCCAGTGACACTCATCAATTCTCACTTACCTCACCACACCAACGACACTCACCACACACATGCTCACCACTTGGCACCATGCCTGCCTAATTTACGCCTCACTTTTCCTCACCACGCCTACTTGCACTCCTTTCCACACCAACACTCACCACACTGACACCACACACGCTTACCTCTCGGTGTCATACCTGGCCAACTTACTCCTCACCACCACACCGACACGCACTCCTCACCATGCAGACACGCACTGCTCTTTACTCACTGCCACCCGCCACTTCTCCACACCCAGGACTCGCGCCTCCAGGATTTTGGTAATGGTTATATGTTTGGGTTAGCTTCCTGGCTGTGGTGAGTGCAAGATCATGCACCTCAGCTGTGAGGGGTTGAGTGTACCCGGGTGATTGAGTGCGGGTGAGTGTACCTTTGGTGACTGTAACCAGGTGAATAAGAGTGAAGGATTGAACAAGGGTGAATGCGTACGCAGGCGAGTGTGAGGTGGTGAGTTTGTGTACGCGAGAATGGCGTGCGTTGCGTGTGCACAGGCGAGCGTGAGTATGTGTACGGGTGAGTTTACGTGCCACGTGGTGTTGGGGGGGTGGGCACGTGTGATCGATGGTGGATGGCTAACTGGTTGAGCGCAACTCGAGGCCTCGGTGCTGGAATCTTTGGTGACTCACCGCCGCCCCCCCTTTCTCTCTCTCAACGCCCGGCATCACGCGGCGGCGAGCGCGTGACACTGCCTTCCTCCGTTTGTGTTGGTACAGCGGATGTCGTAAGAGTTACGACCCCGACTGATGCGCCCACTGCTAATTTCCCTCGAGATTAAAACAGTCAGGAGACAGTGCGGGGTTAGTGGTCAGAGACGCCGAGGTGGCGCTGCTAATATTTTCTGTGTTCTAAACTGGGTTGCAGCCACCGCCTGTGATCACACTGGGCTCTCAAATGTGGTGAGCTGATGACCTGTAGACTCGTATAGAGAGCCACAGTCTTGCATAGAAACCCGTACACATACAGGGATAATCTGTAGACTGGCATAGAGACCTGTAGACTCAAATAGAGCCATAGACACACATAGAGACCTGTGGATTCGCATACAAACACATAGACTTAGATTTGAGACTCGCATAGAAACCCGTATACTCACATAGAGGCCCATAGACTTACATAGACTGGGTTTCTGATTCAACCGTGCTCTCAAGTGTCACGAGTTGATGATCTCAGTTCAGTCACCAATAATTTACTTATTGCGCCATAGACATAGATAAAGACCTGCAGGCTCACTAACCTTTAGCAAGGTTAGTGGTGGGAAAGTGCTCCAATGTAGTGAGTGTGAATCAGAGCACATCAAAGATAAATACCGGGAGCTGTTGCCCTGTCAACTCCTGGCCTTCAATGACCGCTCTTCCAGTCTCAACCACCCTTGTTGCACAGTCTCCGTGCCCTTTAAAGGTTTCTCCTTTGTCAGGCTTGAGGTTTTCTCCGTGATCTCCGACCTTGCCCTCCTCCATCCTGGACACGTGTTCCACACATCACCTCCTCCTGCTTTACTGTACCATACTGTACACTGCAAGCATTTCTCCTGCCAGGTGCTTTGTTCTGAACCTCCCAACTTTCTTAGAAGCCTGTCCACCGACCAAACGGTCAACGGTTCCAATGTTTGATGTTGTAACGACACGTCTCGTGTGACGACACCCTACTGAAGTCGTGTTAACGATCGACAGACACCAGTCCAGCCGGGGCGGTGAGGCTCAGCTACCAAGATTGCAGGGTTGGAGGGGCGTGGGTGCTGGAATGAGGGGGAGAGGCAATGGGAGATCTGAGAGGAGGAACTTGGGGAGGGTTCATCAGCTTCAGCAGAAGCATCATCACAATCATCACCAGCAGCAACATCAGCACACTCATCACCACTCATCGCCAACAGCACGGCTTTCATCATTGTGAGTACTGATTCATGAACAGGAGTATGGGAGCAAGGTTTCCGGGGAGCAGAGTGCGCGCCTGTGTGTACGAGTCGAGAGTTGCGCAAGTCATCCGCTTACCTCGAGAAAACAAACCAAGACTAGGTTTGTGAATAGATTGATGACCCTGACTCCTGGTGTGAGGGGGCGGGCTGGGCGGAAATAGTAAGCAGTCGGGCTGTGAACCATCGCCTTCATCTGTGGAAAGGCTGAGGAGGAGGAGGCACATGTGGCTGGGAGTCGCCTACAAGTGGCGGTGTAGTGGTTAGGGGAGCCGGTGCAGTGATTAGCACGCTGCGCTATGAGCCTGGCGACCTGAGTTCGATTTCCATTCAGTCGGCAACATCGGCAATGAACATTTGAACTGGTCATGGTCTTCCCCTCAGTCAACTCAATTTCAAATGAGTTTTGTACCTAGTTGCGATGTGTAGTAAACATAAGTTTCTGGCCACACGACCTCCTCGTGTGCCGTGCAGTGTGAGTCTATCCCCCATGCTCGCCAGCGCAAGGCCCCTGCCCGTTTAGCGTCGCCCTACATTGTTAGGTGATTGCCACTTGTTGGGTCCCGGTGGCTGTCTTCTGTGGACATTGCACCGGGATTTGTGTAAATAAAACTATGCAAACACGTAGCGAATGCTGCGTTTAGAAGAAATACAAAAATAACTCGCAGCCCTTTGTACATGCTGGGTTGAAGGCCTCACCAGGGGGGAGGAGGGGGTGGGGGGGGGGGTGTTTGGCCGGGAATATCACTCGTAGCTGGGTCCGTATCGCGGTTTCGGTAGCCACGGCGCTCAATCCCCGCGGTCACGCTGCGCCTGTACACCTCGGAGTAGGGGACGTTGAAGACAAGACGGCAGTCCAGTCCAGTAAGGGATCCTCTGTTGTGTTCAGGGGCTTTGCCTGTCACAGCGTAGTTCTGAAATCTAAGGGACTTCTTCACGGTGCCAGAGTTTCAGAATCTTCCTGATTGTGGCTACGGGATGCGTCGGTTTGAAGGTTATAATAGTGCTAGATAAATATGGCTGGCATGCACAATAAGTCCACTGAAGTGCGCTGTGCCGGCTTTCATAGGTGCAGCACTTGCCTCCACAGTCTGTGAAGGCTATACGGGGGGATCTTTGTAAGTCTGCCCCCCATGCTCGTCACCGCCAGCACAAGGCTTCTTTCTGCCTGTTCAGCGTTGCCACACGCGCGTGTTCTAACGCCCACATCGGAGTGTTACATTTAAATAGAAGTCGCTTAAAAAAATATATATCTTGTTACTGTCACCCCCCCCAACAAACTTAAGACCACAGACCTTGGGTCCTTGGTGGTGTTGGTGCGGTGTGCGGCGAGTTCCATAGGCGTGAGCTGGGGGTGGACTTTGTCGACTTGTACCCTGCAGAGCCACGCCTTGACATTGGCTTGCGTTGGCGGGGCAACCAGACTTTGTGCGTCACATGCGCAGAGGTCACAACCGTCACGTGGCGTCGTGTGACATTGTAACGTCTGTGCAAATGAATGCTATAATCTTAGTTCTTTCGGTAAAGTCACGTTGAAGGGAAACAATAAAATAATAAAAAATATATAAAACAATTAAAATTCTCACGACGTTTCGACCATAACACAAACGGTCGTCTTCAGGTGTATTGTATTCTAATAGAATACAACAACAAAATTAATACAACAAAATTAAAGAATTACTCGACGATGGTAGTTATACAAAAATAAAAAGAGATCCCACCAACAGCCTCGTCACACAAACCAACAAAATAATTTCTGATTCAACCGCATTAATTGATCAATCTAAACAGTTTTCGTTGAAACCTGCTGCCAGGCCACCAAGATTATACGGCTTACCAAAAATACATAAAGTAGATACACCCCTTCGTCCCATCGTCTCTACTATCAACTTCCCCACCTACAAACTGGCTCGTTTTTTGTCTGAAATCCTGCGTCCTTTCGCTGGAAAAACCACCTCTGCGGTACAAAATTCTACTCACCTGGTATCGACAATCAAGGGTATTTCCCTGTCCCCAGACGACCTGCTTGTCAGTTTTGATGTAGTTTCCTTATTCACCAAGGTTCCTGTACCTGACACCATTGCAATCATTGAAGGCTTGGTTCATCAAGGACTAAACACTGATTTACCCCCCCTGGTGAGACACTGTTTAACCAATACATACTTCACTTGGAATGGAACTTTCTACAAACAAACTGAGGGCACCCCAATGGGCTCCCCCCTATCTCCGGTTATAGCTAACATTTTCATGGAGAAATTTGAGACTGACGCCATCCAGACTGCCACTCTGCGCTCAACCTTATGGAAGAGGTACGTGGATGACACTTTTGTCATCTGGCCACATGGCCGGCCTGCTCTAGACCAATTCTTCGACCACATCAATTCCATACACCCAGCCATCAGATTACCATGGAAGTAGAAATAGATGGCAAGCTACCTTTTTTGGATGTCCTAATTAAAAAGAGACCTGATGGTTCAATGAGCCACTCTGTCTACAGGAAAGCTACCCATACGGATGCTTATCTGAAACCGGATTCCCACCACCATCCATCACAGAAGAATTATCTCATCAAGACTCTGTATCATAGAGCCCAATGCATATCCGACCAGGGACACATAGGCAGTGAACTCAAGCACATACACCAAGCTCTTAAGGCTAATGGTTACTCCGACTATACAATCCGCAAAGCTATCACTCAAACCATGAAGAAGGACCCTCTTGAGGAGCCTTTCAAAACCATCACTTTACCCTACATTGCAGGGATCACAAAAAAGATCTCCAAAATCTTGAATAAACACAAGATCCAGGTCCGTTTCAACACATTACATAAAATCCGTGATCTGGTTCCGTCTGTAAAAGATGTGATTCCGGACATACAATACCCTGGTGTCTACAAACTAAGTTGGCTCTGTGGTAGTAGTTACATTGGAGAAACCAAACGCCATGTCTCGGC